GAGAGAGAGAAGAGAGCCAGAAGACAGTCGGTCAGCTAGAGTCGAAGTTGGAGAGAAAGGAAGGCACTTGAAGGGGTTCAGGGATCAAAGAAGTTGTAGATTAGGTCTCAGCAGGGTCTGTGTATGTCAGTTTGTATGTGTATGTGTGTTTGTGTGCATGTATACTGTACACCTGAACTGGCCCACTGAGCGAGCACCAGCAACTATTAGACGGACGGATTGGTTGGTGTAGCCAGGTAAAGGCACAAAGTGGAGGGAGCAATCACCGCAAAATGGCAATAAATAAATAAGGAAAAAGACAGATTCAGTCGTCCATCAATCAATTAATCAAAACAGTATAATTGAGAAAATACAAATAAACAACAACAAGGATAAGATACAGATGATGAAAGGAGGATGAATGAGAAAGAAGAAGGAGAGAGAGAGAAGGAGAAAGAAGGAGAAAGAAGGAGAAAAGAAAAGGACCAACTGAGTGATTGGCAGAACGGTGGCGTAGGGCAGAGTGAGAGGGGAGAGAGAGACTGGACTGATTCGGCACTGGTCAGCGGTCGGTAAAACATTGCGTCGACCGAGCCACAAGCCGCCCAAGCGGTCACCGTCACCGCTGAGTGATCGTGAACTCGAAGCAAGTGGTACGAGTGCAACTATTCGAGAGCAGGGGTTAAATTTGTAAAGATGCCTAGTTGTGTGTGTGTGTGTGTGCTGGAGAGTGTTGACTGCGTGACCATGATTTACCGGAGAGAGGCGGGCTGTCGCTTCGGGTACAGTACTGATCATTGGGAGGATGAATGAAAGTCAGGTAGTAGAGGGAACAATGAAGGCAAAACTAGTTGCACTTTTTTTGCAACCAGTGTCTGTGTGTGTCAGTGTGTGGTTGGGGGATACTGTTGGTGTGTGTGTGTGTGTGCTTGAAACTGTCAAACATGATGACTATACAAAATACAGAAAATCCGTACTGTCCGCGAATGATGAGGCGGTGAAGAGGGATTGTGGCCAGGATGGCGGTGGTGGTGATAGCCAAGGGGGATGCATGCGTCGAAGAGCTGTGATTAGCCGAGGGATGCTCAGCGCAGTAATGATGGTGCTAGTGCGGTGATGGTGGTGCAGGTGGTGATGATGATGATGGCGGCGGCGTCAGAGGCTTCGGTCTCACATGGATCGTCACATTAGACCGAATATTAATGGTCGCATGGGAACACCTGAGCTCATGAGCGCCCTAAAAGTCGACGTGCAAATGATGAGGCCGCAAAGTCGCTCTCTCCTGATCCGCTGATGTGCTTTTGTCAATTACAGTTGAAAATGTAAAAAACTCTCTCTCAGCAGCAGACATGTTTGACTCTAAGGTGGATTCTTTCTAAACGAGTATCGAGATAAATAAAAGGGGGAGATTGCTTCTGCTGCTGTGTTAATTGAACTATGCTGTTTCTGTGATGATGTTGAGGTGTGTTGCTTTGTTTGGGGAAACTGAAAGAGACTCCTGTGAGATGGGACAGGCGCTCTTTACTTCTTCTTCTTAATTTCCACCGGGGAAGTGACTAGTCAAGTTAAAAAGTGAAAAATGTGGATTAGTTTTCTGCACAGACAAAAGACAGGTAAAAGTGATCGATTAGATTGGATGGGGAAGCATGCAGGCACAAAACGAAGCATTGTAGAAGAAAAAAGAAAAAGCAATGAGCATGATTACACTGCGATGGTAAGCGGTCCTGTGGATGGATGGGTTTCCGAGTTGAGGAAGCCTGTTGGGTCACTAAAGAGTCGGTTCGGCGACTGGGAACTGGCGGAGAGCGGATGGTGAAGCGTCAGTAAAAGTTAGCAAGAGTTAGCGTTGTTCGGGCAAATGGTGCAAAAATATGAGGAAGGGAGGAAGGAGAACAGAAAGTGGTGATGGTGATGGTGATGGAGGTGAAGAGTGCAGTCAGGTGTAATTGCTCAGTGAAACTGAGGAAGAGGACTATTGCGTGTCTGAGAAAGTACGTGAGTGGTGGCCAGTGGCTATCGAGACCGAAAAAAGAGTGATCTCAAATCTCAGTCTGTGTATTTGTAAGGCACCCAAGCACAGTGAAAGTCGGTGCACTGAGAGGATTATTTTTGGCCGCACTGCGAACACTATGAACTAGTGGAAATTGCTGTCAGATTAGTGCACTCTCTCGAGTGCTCGCTCACAAGTGAAATGGACCATTGTGTCCGCTTCAATTCAATTGCCAATTGCTCTGCTCAATCGCCTGCCCAATTGGATGGCTCCTTTGCGTGCTAAGAGATGCAAATCGGTTAGTCACCTGGATCACCATCGCCGCCGTTGTTCTTGGCGCTATGTCACTTATATTGTCAGGTGTTCAATCACATGCTTCTAGCTGTTTCTGCTTTTCCGCTGCTTGTCCCCTCTTAGACGACGTGATAATGGTAGCTCAGTGCATAACAAAAAGAACAACACAGACCGGCCGGCGCCTCTAAGGGAAAGGGCGTCAGATTCTGTCGATTCTGCGCAAAAGAATCACCTAGTAGGAAGAGCGAAAGAGAGTAGAGAGTTTAGAGTAAAGAGCAATATCACTGTGAATGGCATCGATAGAGAAAGACATCATGTTTCTCTCATCAGGCGACGCACTTGATCTCCTTCATTTCTCCTTGATTGCAAGTGTGTGAGTGTAGCTCAAGGTGAGTCAGCTGCAGAAGAGTGCAAGCAGTTGGTGACGCCCACAAAGTAACAGTATAACAGCACAAGCCAATTGGCTTCGCTGTGAAACATATCGACCACTTACTGGTTGAGCGGAGAAATGCTGTGGTAAACAAACAACTAATTTGATCGCTTAGTCCGATCGCAAAGTTGGCTGATCCCGGTGTGGAAGGATGATCAGCACTGTTCGGCCGGGACGCTGCAAACTTCTCGTCGGTTGTCTGGAGGACTGCTCCAGTGAGGTGAGTAGTGAGAAAGAGATACGATAGATTGTACAGACATGTCTGGACCTATCCATCGAGAGCCTTTCTCTAGTTTTCATTTATTAATTCTGTAATTGTTTGTATTTTTAGCTCTAACAGGAAAACCCAGCCAGTGAAAGACGAATGGTTTGGAGAGAAGAACCAACCATTGATCAGAGTGGAGAATAATAAGAGCTCAACTGTCACACATGGCTTGACAGAAAGAGATGATCATCGCAGCAACTGGGCAGATTACAGAAGACTGCCAATATTTCAACAGTGGAGCGTGTCTAGTGTGTCTCGGTGTTAATCAAGCAATTGATCTTCTCAAGCAGTCAATTGCTTGCCCGGTTAAGATGGCCATTCATCAATCACCGGGCAGGCAACATGCGAACGAGCATAAGAATTGTGGGAAAAAGTGTCAGCCGACAGTGCTGTTAGGCCTAGGCAGTCATTGCGCAGTATTTGCCTAATCGCAATATGCCATTCGTTGTGATGTTACTCATCATCAGCATCATCATCAAGACGAGATGAAGTGAAGGTGCGGTGAGAACAAAAACGAAAAAGAGGACCATCACCTTGCGAGCGATAATTAAAATAAAATAAAAGAAAGAGTGACTAAAATGCCATGCTATTAACCGAAAATAGCCATGTGAAAAGAGTAGCCCAAATGTAAAACGAAAGAAAAGAAAGAGAGCGGATAGGAAAAGCAAAGTAGGTTCAGGAAAAAAGATTATAAACAAATGATGTTAGTTAAAAGCAAAAATAAAGTTAGTCAGGAGACAGTTGGACAGGACGAAAATTAGATCACAGGAAGAAGACAAAAGCAGCGCAAAGTGGAAATTATTATTCGCAAAGAACTACCAAGTTAAGAAACGTATTAAAAGCCGTAGAATAAAAGGTGTGTGACAACGGTACGGGATAAAGATTGGGAAAATTTAGAAAAGCGAACATTGGGAAAGGTGGTCCTTAGTAGATTGGAGAGAGCCACTTGGGAAGGTAGCAAGAATCGCCTATCAGCTCTTTCGACGTGGCGATGAGCACGACAAAGTAGGCGATCCAGACAAAGATCAAAAGCAGCAGGTCTTTGCAGGTTGAAGAGGAGAAGGAAGTGGAAGAGGAGGAGGAAGAGGGATGGGAAGACTCGGCCTTGGCCGGATGATTACCGTCGATAAAGGTGCGAGCGACGAACTTGAGAACTTCGTCGAGAAGGATGACTGGTACAGAGATCTTTAGCACGGCCCACCACTCGAGGATGGTCAGAGGGCACAGAGAGAAGACAACCTGAATTTGAACGTCAAACGGGGTTAAAGAATGTGTCCTCCAAAGAGTGCATGAAAAAGTTGACTGAAAGAACATACCGAGAGAATGTCAACATAGAGCACAACAAAGTGAAGAGTCATGGAGAGGGTGATGGCAGAGATGAGCCAGATGTTCGTCCATGGCGGCATGGCAAAGAGAGACTGGTTTTCAGACAAGCTGTTGGAATTGTTCAGAGAAATGTTTAGTAAATAAGTTATTGAAATAAAACCCAACCAATGAAAAGGACTGACCTGTTCAATGCGTTAAGCATTTCAATGGTGACCAATACTGATAGAGCCATAGTCATCGGGTGAGGGTCGTGGAAAATGTTGCAGTCAACTCCGCGAAAGTTCTCAGAGTCACCGATGCATTGCAGATGGTGAGAAAGTTGGTAAAAGGTGAGGTGAGGACCATCAGGGGCAACCATGTACCACCAAGAGGCGGCACCGACAGTGGCAGCACCGACGTAGGCTAGATGAAAAGGTTAACGATGTGACATAGAAACGTTCCCTACACCAAAGTCGTCCCACACTTACTTCCTACAGCCATGTATCGGAAAAAGAGCCATCCGGTAATAAGAGATTCGTTGGCCTTGCGCGGGGGTCGCTCCATGATGTCGAGATCGGGCGGGTTGAAGCCCAGAGCAGTGGCAGGCAGACCGTCGGTGACCAAGTTCACCCACAACAGTTGCACCGGGATCAGGGCCTCAGGCAGACCGAGAGCAGCAGTCAGGAAAATACTAGGGCGAGCAAGCAATAAATAATAAAGCAGCAAAAAGGTCTTCAGACACCTACCTGACGACTTCACCGATGTTGGAGGAGATCAAGTAGCGGATAAACTGCTTCATGTTGTTGTAGATAGCTCGACCTTCCTCGACGGCAGAGACAATGGAGGAGAAGTTGTCATCGGCCAAGATCATCTCAGCGGCAGACTTGGCGACAGCAGTTCCAGAGCCCATGGCAATACCGATTTCGGCCTTCTTCAAGGCAGGAGCATCGTTCACACCATCGCCAGTCATGGCGGAAATCTCACCATCAGCCTGCAGAAACTCCACAATCTTACTCTTGTGGGCCGGCTCCACGCGAGAGAACAGACGAGAGCGACGGGTGGCGGCACGTTGTTCGCTGACAGAAAGGTCATCGAATTCACGGCCAGAGTAGGACATGCCAGTGGTGTCCTCATCTTCCCCGAACACACCAATTCGACGGCAGATAGCCTCAGCGGTAGCCTTGTTGTCGCCGGTGATCACAATGACTCGAATACCAGCGGCACGGCACTGCATAATAGAGTCCCGAACTTCCTTACGGGGAGGATCCAACATGCCAGCAACGCCGACAAAGGTCATGTTTTGCTAAAGATATTCCAAAAAGAGCATTAACCTCAAATGCCTGACAAGTAAAGAAATATTTACCTCATAGTCTGCAAACTTGGAAGAATCGCCCAGATCCATCTGTTCAGGCTTCATTGGGTGGTCAAGGGTGGCCAGGGCCAGGCAACGGAGGGTATCACGGCCGGTACCGTAGTGACGAGTGAGGTCGAGGATGCGATTGCGGATCGCCGATGTCATTGGCACCTTGCGGTCACCAACGCGAATGTGAGAGCAGCGATCGAGCACACCTTCGGGGGCACCCTAAAATGAAAGGCAAATTGTTCAGTTGTGACTTGTTCGCATGGTTAGAGTGGTAAAAACTGCCTACCTTGCAGAACATCTTCGGTTCATTTCCGAGCTTAGTGGCGGTCTTTGGAATGCAGTAAGAGCTCATTGATTTACGATCGCGAGAGAACTCAAGAGTGTGCTCCTTGCTCCACATCTTCTTGACGTTCTGGTTCACCACGAGAGCAGCATCACGACGGGAAAGGCCGCGCTTGTCAAAGCCCCAAGGGTTCAGCTTCTCAGCCAGCACGATGAGAGCAGTCTCAGTGGCCTCACCGACCTTCTCAAACACCTGCTTGTACTCGTTGAAGTCAATGCTGGAGTCATTGCACATCACGCAGATGGTGGCCAGTTCATAGGCAGCTTCATATTCGGAAATCTTGACTCGATTACCGTCCTGGAAAACTTCGCCAATGGGCTCGTAGGTCGAGCCGGTGCACTCAAACTCATCAAACTCGGCAGAGTTTCCTTCGGCATTTTTAAGGATGAAAAACTACAAGGTGAAAAATCAATAAATTATAGTCATTTGTTAAACAGAGCACGAAAAAGTCAAAAACTTACTCGAGAGACGGACATCTGGTTGGTGGTCAGGGTGCCGGTCTTATCAGAGCAGATGACAGAGGTGCAACCAAGTGTCTCCACAGAGGGCAGAGACCGCACAATGGCGTTCTTCTTGGCCATGCGGCGAGTGCCAAGGGCCAGGCAGGTAGTGATGACAGCAGGCAGACCCTCGGGAATGGCAGCCACGGCCAGAGCGACGGCAATCTTGAAGTAGTAGATGGCACCCTTCAGCCATGAACCGCCATGGGCGGGATCGTTAAAGTGACCAATGTTGATGGCCCACACGGCAACGCAGATGATGGAGATAACTTTGGAGAGCTGCTCGCCGAACTCGTCCAGTTTCTGCTGAAGAGGAGTCTTTGCTTCTTCGGTCTCAACCATCTCAGTACGAATTTTACCGATGGCCGTGTCCAGACCAGTGCCAATAACAATGCCGCAAGCCTTACCGGCGGCAATGTTCGTGCCAGAGAAGAGAATGTTCTTCTTGTCCTGGTTCACTGCCCGAGGATCGGGAACTGCATCGGTGTGCTTGATGACTGACACCGACTCACCGGTAAGGATAGACTGATCAACTCGCAGTGTGGTGGAGAAAATTTTGATCAGGCGAATATCAGCGGGGACCTTGTCACCGACAGAAATTTCAACCATATCACCGGGCACAATTTCTTTGGCACGGATCTTCTGAACGCCGGTCTTGTCCGCGCGGATGACTTTGCCCATTTCAGGCTCGTACTCCTTCAACGCCTCAATAGCGTCCTCGGCATTTCGCTCTTGCCACACACCGACGACGGCGTTTGCAATAAGAATAAGCAAAATGACAAAAGGTTCCACAAAGGCGGTGATAGTGTCTTCATTCTCTTCAAAAAATGCTAGGATCTAAAATATAAACAGTTAGAAGAGCCGCCATTCACAAAAAGTAACAACATACGAAGGAGATGATTGCGGCCAAAAGTAAAATTTTGACGAGAAGGTCGTCGAATTGCTCAAGAACCAGCTGCCATATAGACTTGCCTGTAAAGTGAACGTCATAGTAAATAATAATGAGTATAAGAAAGTAACAAAGAGCAGAGCCATCATCATCATCATCATCCTCATTCGGCAGCGGTCATTGACACGAGGCCGCCGCTGCCCGATGAATTGATTGCGCACTCGGCTACCGAAATGATCGGCAGTTCACCCCAGCAACGTACCTTCTTCAGCGGGAAGCTCTACAAAGAGATGAAAGGTACATATCAGTAAACGTAGATAAACATCAAAATAAATGAAAACATACCGTTAGGGCCATATTTCTCTTGATTCTGTCTGACTTGTTCAAGAGTAAGACCGCGTTCTTTGTCGGTATTAAAGTAGTTGAGCACTTCTTGGCTCGTCTTGGCGTGAGCCTGCTCCATGGTCGAAAAGGTGTAGAAGACTAGTAGACGATTTCAATAATACAGTGTTGACTATGTGGGGGCAACTATGATGATTCTGTGGTGAAAGGTAGTGGTGGTGGTGGTGGTGAGGATGAGGAAAAGAAAACCAGATAAATTAAGAAGATTGCTTAGTCCAGGCTTTAGTGTGTGTATGTGTGTAAGTGTGTGTGTTGTATGTGTGGTGAACAGACTGCGGAGAAGACGGCAACTCGCTGACGCCGATTTGGTGGTACACGTAACGTTAGCGACTGCTGCACGCATGCCCATTCACACACTCTGCCGCTGCGAAGGCGAATTCACCAGCGTCGGTGTAGGCCACTCGCCGACAGACACTGTCGATACAGACTTTTAATTTGGACTGGAGCATTTCCAGCCACAAGTTTCACTGGCCAGCACATCCGCGTCTGTCCGCCAGTAGTCACATGGGAGGCACATGGTCACGCCAGATAAGAGGGACAGTGTGGCGTGCCGAAGCAGTCTCTTGGGCAATGCTCTTCACTTCACTGTACAGAAAGCTCTGCACAGGAGAGCTAAGCAGCTCTAATCTAATCGGACATGGAAGAAAGAAATGAGCTCGCGCGACCGCCCGCCCGCCCGAAATTGAACTCGGAAATGATAAGAGCCGTAAAAGTGACAAAGGAAACTTGAGCCTTGCTAACTGGTGGCACTAGCTTGGGCTCAAAGTTCTGTCCAGACGTCGGTGAAATCCGAAGCGACAATGTTTCACATCGATCAATACTGAACGCCTGTGTGCGTCAAGGAACTGCGTCACCAAGCACCTTTTTCACTGCTCTCCTCTTCCCTTTGGTGCTGAGAAGAAGCAAACAAGTAGTGTCAGTTAATCGACATTAACTTTAAGTCTGGAATTNAACCTTTTTCACTGCTCTCCTCTTCCCTTTGGTGCTGAGAAAAAGCAAACAAGTAGTGTCAGTTAATCGACATTAACTTTAAGTCTGGAATTCGGTGTATCATCTACCCGAGAACTGTGGCCACTTTGATTCATAAACGGCCGCACTGCAGAGCAGCGCAGGAATTAGGCAGGCAGGATACATCATCCTCAGCAGCATTTTCAGCTCTTTTGTAGCTCACTGNCACCTTTTTCACTGTCCTTCTCTTCCCTTTGGTGCTGAGAAGAAGCAAACAAGTAGTGTCAGTAAATCGACATTAACTTTAAGTCTGGAATTCGGTGTATCATCTACCCGAGAACTGTGGCCACTTTGATTCATAAACGGCCGCACTGCAGAGCAGCGCAGGAATTAGGCAGGCAGGATACATCATCCTCAGCAGCATTTTCAGCTCTTTTGTAGCTCACTGGATTGGGTCCAATTGTGACGCAGAAGAAGCGCTCCCGAGCCAAGTGATGCTCGGGTGACAATTAGAGCACAGACAGCTGGCGGAATGGCATGAATGCCGTTGATGATGCTCTCTCACTGAGTGTGACTGTCTCTGCCCACCGACGCTACAGCAGAGAGTGAGCAAGTCAGTGAATGAGCCAAGGAAATATTCCACCAGTGCCACAGTGACATTGTCTTCGGCAGTACCGCATTGCGCAGATGCTTATCACGTCACTGCAGCGAGAACTGCCAGATACATCACCACTAACGAGCAAACAGAAAGCCAGAGAGAAGAAGGCGAAGAACTTGGCGGCGGGATCAATCATGGTGTGAACCTGAACGATGAATGCTGCCTCACACTCACTTCACTGATGATGTCCTTCAGCGATTGTGCTGGCAGTAAGCACTGCAAGGTGGAGGACAACAGTCGTCGTGGACGGTGNGAATGGCATGAATGCCGTTGATGATGCTCTCTCACTGAGTGTGACTGTCTCTGCCCACCGACGCTACAGCAGAGAGTGAGCAAGTCAGTGAATGAGCCAAGGAAATATTCCACCAGTGCCACAGTGACATTGTCTTCGGCAGTACCGCATTGCGCAGATGCTTATCACGTCACTGCAGCGAGAACTGCCAGATACATCACCACTAACGAGCAAACAGAAAGCCAGAGAGAAGAAGGCGAAGAACTTGGCGGCGGGATCAATCATGGTGTGAACCTGAACGATGAATGCTGCCTCACACTCACTTCACTGATGATGTCGTCGTGGACGGTGCTGCAATGTTTTCCGGTGTCAGACCACTGCCGGTGACACCTGCTGAAAATTGCAAACTGCGCTGAGCGCTGTACACATTGAAGCAATGTACAAAGGAGAGGGGGCACAGCATCTAATTCAAAGAGAAATGAAAATTGCAATTCCCAGCATCAACAGCAGCAGGCATCATGATTTATTCTGTCTAAACAATATGACAGACCGGTGCTCTCACAGACAGCAAAGTGCACTTGTCCTGGCAGCCACTTGCGCTCGCTGAGACTATCATTGGCAGAAGGAAGCCACTTGTACAGAGGACTGGCACTCAGCCTGCGGCACCTTCGTTTTAAATAGACCAAAATGGAAGCGAGCAGGCGGCTATTAGCGAGATGAATGCGAGAATGAAGATGAGGCTTGTAGCCAAATGTGCTCGCATTTGTGCTTATACTGACACAGGCGCCGAGTGAGATGTGCTGCCTGCCTGCCTACTTTGGTGCCTGCAGATGAAACAGAGAACAGAGGAGGCAGCAGACACCGAGAGCTGTTGGCCAGCCAAAACACACTGAGGAAGTGGTGAAATTAAATTAGAATCCAGCTAGTCTCAGATGNGAACAGAGGAGGCAGCAGACACCGAGAGCTGTTGGCCAGCCAAAACACACTGAGGAAGTGGTGAAATTAAATTAGAATCCAGCTAGTCTCAGATGCCACCAAAAAGACCTATTAATAGTGATAGTTGTTGCTGTTGTTGCAGCTCCTACAAAGAAGATGTACAATAAGCGCGCAGCTGAGGCGCCAATCAAGACACTGACGTTCGACAGGAATCTATAAATATTACTCACATCGATGCTGCGATTCGGTGGTGAGTGATGACGAGGCAAGCAAAGAATGACCCAGGCAAATTGAGATTTTTTGAGTTACAAGAGAAAGAGCACAAAGTTGACGGGTGTTGATGAACTGTCACTAGCAACACAGGGGTGGAAAACAAATGGCAAATGGGGAATCACAAATCAAATGAGATCGATTCAATCACAATGT